ACAGACACAGGTTGCATCCTTATTTTCTTACCTGCATACAGGCTCATCAGTGATTGGCAGTGAACAACATTCCTATTATTTCACTACATGAATAAGGCAAAAGTTCCTAACATATTGCTAAGCTAGGAAGAAGCTATTGATTTGTTGAAAATATTCACAAAAATAGTCAGATTAAAATTGCAAATAAAGGATCATTCCTAACATGTTCTTTTGTCAGTTATCATATGTATGAGTATATATCAACATGAGGTAGGGTTTTATTACATTTCTTTTAAAATACTTCAAAAATTAAAGCAATGCTGTTGGCTTTGCTAGAAAAATAATATGGAAAAACCAAAAATTTTTAAAAAATTTGTTCTTCAGGCACATGCAGAAAGTTGTAAAGAGCCGGTCCAAGAAGCACCAAGAAATGATTAGTCAATAAAAATAGGATGCAAATTTTAGTTAGAAAAAAAATTAAATAAACCTAAGAAAATGTGATATGGGAGCCTTCAGAAAATGAAGACCTAGAGACCCAGGAAAATCTGTGTATTTTTATGGATAGCTGTACAGAAATATGACAGGAGGATAAAAGGGTATGATCTAATGGCGATGGTGATAAACTGGGGAAACTTAGGAAGGTCTGTTTGTTCAGATTCTTTTTGATGTCCCTGTGTGACATTTCTTCCCTTTGGGTATAGGCCAGGACACCTGTCACATGAGGGTACTCAGGGGAGAAGGGAGAGAGAAGGTCAGAGTGACCTTCCTACTTTTGCTGTTTTCTCAAATGCCAAGGAATCCTATTTTGGGGTAGTGTTTCCTGTACCCCATCATTGTCATAAATTATATGTTCTTTCTTTCATCTTTGATGTCTCTTTTTCTACTTGCCTTTCTCTTTTTACATAGAAACATACCCCTCCCTATCTGTCTTACTTAAAAAAAAAAAAGAAATGGAGCACTGATACCTCATTGTTCACTCCTTTCCAGCTTTCATGGTTTCTCTCATTCTCCTCACAGATGAGGTGAATAAATTTCTCTCACCTTGTTTGATAGCGCTATAGTCCTTCCTTCTCTTTATAAACTTTTCCTTTGTCTGGCTCTTGTGATACTGTTGTTCTTGGATTCCCTTCTCTTGCCATTACTCAAATTCCTCTGTCCGTTCTTTAAATGTTATTTTCCAGAGTTCTAACTACTGTTTATTTCCTTCCTCCCTCTGTACATTCTTCTTTTGGAATCATAAATTGATTTACCTGTGTCCTTTATGTGCATTGTAACTACCAAATCTTTAAATTCTGTGTAGGCTATTCTGAGAGCTCTAAGCCCAATTGCCTACTGTATATCTATACTTAAGTCTCTCAAAACGCCTCTAACTAAAACAATAAAAACAAACTCATCAACATCCCTCTAAACTGTTCTTCCTCCTGTACTTTCTATATCAAAATGCCCTGTCATCCTCTGAGAAACTCCCTGAATCATCTGCAAATTCTTCTACTCACTTTCGATATGTAATCGTACATGAAATCCTGTTGTCTACACTTCAGAATTTCTGATGAGCTAGTTGTTTCTACCCAGCCTCCCCTCCTTTTCCCTTTCTCCATTTCCCCACCATTGAGTAGTTTGAGTCCTCATTTCTTACCTTGTAACTAGATCTCCCTTTTTGCTTTCTGTTCTCCCTCTAAGCCACCATCTACCTGGTGTCAGGGAAATTATTTTATTATGTTCGTATGCATTTGATCTTTTTTACTCTCTGATTTCTCATTTTTTAATCTCTCTCCATTATTTTGAGAATACAATCTGAATGTTTCAGAAGGATAGTTAAGTCCACCATTGGACCAGATGGCTCTGGTTCATCTGTCTGGCTGAATTTTTCCCTACCATTCCTGCCCCCATTCCATACCATTTGCCGAACCACGCTTGGACTCCAGCCATTCAAAATCTTGAAGTTGCTGTATGTGCCGTGTTTTATAAATTTCCTCTGACTTCTTTGTTATTTCCTTCTCTTCTCAATTTTGTCAAGTTCCACGTGTCTTTCAAATAGTATTTCAAATAGCTACTACTCCAGAAAGTCTCCTCTATCAGCCTTCCTGTACCACTACTTAATAAGCATTAAGTGACTCCCTCCTGGCTCCTGAAACATGCTGTCCCCAACCCCCATATTCTTGTTCTCCTCTGTCTCTCTCCTTGCCAGACCCAGTTTTAACCCCAACCTGCATCTCCATCTTTTAGTATCTTCAGCAGATACTAGTACTTGTTGAATGGGTTAACAAAGAGCAAACAAAAAATTCTTCCTAATGGAGTGCTATGTTAGTTTTTTATTACATGAAAGTGCTATATCCTCTGTAATTTCCTCCAAATTTTATAGTACCTTCTGGATAAATTTAATAAAATAGTGCTTAGTGATTATGCATGTATGCTTGACAATTTACCAAGAAAAAGATAAAAATGTACACATATCAGTGTTCTTCCTAGTGTAATTTTTCACTTTCATGATGAATGGGATCTTTTCTTATTTCCTTGCCATTATGACCTTTTAATTCCAGGTTGAAAGGCAGAGTGCTTATGTATTTTAGGAAAACCAGATAATACCTCATATCTGTGAAAAATAATCCATGCTCCTATAAAATGTTCTTGACAGCTTGTCAGTGGGGCAGAGAACTCTGGATGGGTCTTGAATTGCTTTTCAGCCAAAACAGGCTTACCTAAATGAACACTGGTAGTGACAGTGCACTCAGGTGTCAAGTTAGAGAACATGTTTTGGATCATTTTAGCATAAATCAGATTTGGGGCATGAGTTAAATTTATTTCTATAGATGTATATTCTTTGTCTCTCAGTTTCCCAGCTAAAGCAATGTATAACATTTCTTACTATTTGTCAGTGTTGAGAACTGTATATGAGAAGAGATGATTCATTTTCTCTAGGTTCTATGACTTGTTCAGTAACGGCTGAAAGAAATGAGATAGGCTGAGCTGAATTAGAAAATGATATAAATGGTTTTTGTTCCTACCTGTACCCTACTGTAATTTTTTGTTCTTAATGTAAAAATAGGGCACAATTGTATTTTTCTAAAAGCAGTACTAAGAATATTAGTTAGTATTTATAATGTTTTTAAAATATATGCACCAGCTCATAGGTAGCACAAATTACAAGACTAATATTTCATGCATCATTCATTTTAATAGTTCTATAAATTTCTCTTTACTTTATACCCTACTCTCACTTATTTGTTTTTTGTTTCTTGATATTCATTTGCCTTTTTCTATCCTATTTATACAGCATGGTTCAATAAATATTCTTCCTTATTTTTATTTATGCTAAAGTATCCCTAGTTTTAATGTATCTCACTTACTAACCAGTTTGTTTCATATAAATCAAGCCTCTTTGTTTTCCTCTAAGGCATTTCATCCTTTTTTATGACTGACTTTCAGTTTTCTTTCTTTCTCTTTAGTTTATCAGCTCATTATTCTTTTATTTGTTCTCCTATACCTCATTTAAATTCCTTTTTCATGTTATGCCTTTATTATTACTTAATTTTTTATTCTGTTCCACTTAAATGTATTTGAAAAACATGTGGTGACTTTGATATACTATTGGAATTCTTCTCTAAGGAAAAGAAAACACACACAGTTAAATCTTCATAATTCAAATCATATATACGTAGAAAGAAGTAAAAGTTTAAATATAAATCATCTCCTATCATTTCTACTTGTTTACTAGTGTTTTCTTATATTTGCATGGGAAGAAAAGAATACATACTTTAGGCCTACAACATAAAGATAAATAAATGAAAAATATAAAGGAATTTTAAATTAAATTGTATTGTTTTGAGTGGCCAAATTGTATGGTATGTTGTAATTTCTCCATTGTCAGGAAAAAGTAAGATAGAACACGGATTTAGATTTTTCTAAAATGTCATGACATTCATAGCTCATGTTTTAAGATGTCCATTGCATTAATCTAAAGTATATACCTGAGGGCTGGCCCGGTGGCGCACTGCTACAGTGCGCCGCTTGGGAGCGCAGTGGCGCGCGCTCCCGCTGAGGGTTCGGATCCCACATACAGACCGGTTCCCGCTTACTGGCTGAGCGAGGTGCGGGCGCAACACCGAGGGTTGCGATCCCATTGCCGGTCCCGGTCCGGTATGGGCGCGACACTGAGGGTTGCGATCCATTGCCGGACACGAAAAAAAAAAAGACAAAAAGGAAAAAAAATAAAAAAAATAAAATAAAGTATATACCTGAAAAGGATTTGAACTTAAATCCTTCAATCATAATTTTAATGATAAATACCATTGCCTTAAAGATTGAACTTTGATCCAGTAATTCCAAATCTAAGAGTCTAGCTAAGCAAATAAAATACTTTCAAGCTTCACGCATGAAGATATTCATTGCAGTGTAATTTGTAGTGGTTAAAAGCTGATAACATCCTAAGTTTCTTTTTTAAAAGGAGAGTAATCAAGTATACTATGGAATGTAGAGATAATGAAGTATTAAATGGCTATTAAAAAATAAAATGCTTGCAAAATGTTTGTGATGGTATGGGAAAGTATTTATCATATGACATAAGGAAAAATGATATGTGAATTTTGTATAATATACTTTCAAAATATGTTGTATATATTTTATATAATATACTTTCAATTATGTGAAACAATTTTAAATACTAGAAGGGAATACACAAAAATGTTAGATGTTCTACCAGAGTGACATAATTATTCTTGCATTTAAAAAAGACTACATTTAAAATTAACAAATGTTTACCCTTATACAGGACAAGACATTGATATCATTTTTCTCTTGTTTACTTTCGAGTATTTCTGCATCCTAAAAATTTGTACACTAAAGGTTCAATGCTTTTGCAATTTATAGGTGGAGTGGGAGTGTGGACATAGTGGGAATTAGGAGGGAGATGAAAGATTTACAGGCAATTTAATGAATTATCTGAAACATAGATATAAAATATCAGTATGTGGCTTTTATGTGCCAGAGATCTGATAGAACGTTCTCTTTTCTGATTTCTGTAGTATCAAGTCATGGGTGGATAAGATGCAAGAAGACCTTGTCACACTGGCAAAAACAGCAAGTGGAGTCAATCAGCTTGTTGATGTGAGTAAAATGCACCACAGAAACTTGTTAATCTCTTCTTCAATTTGAATGCAGTTCTGTCTTTTAGGACACTCTATTTCTATGTTATGGATAGGATGTGATTTCCACATGGATCCAGTAGTGAAATTCTGAGCAAGATCCTTGGTACTGCTAGTTAACTGTGACAAGAAGGGCCATCCCCAACAATTAATGCAACTTTCTCACCACACTTTACAGTTTATACACAGCCCTCACTTAGATGAGTCCATGAGATGTGTATACTCCTCCCAAATTCATATCAGGGTGTCATGTACTTATTACCACAACGTTTCCATTCACTGGAACATATTTTAGAATCTCTTATACAGTGGTGACTTCAAGTCCTTTGATGGATTCTTTTGAATATGCTCAGTGGGAACACATTTTCATTCTTTGAGAGTAGGTTTTATTTTTAAAATTATTTGAGAAGTGTTTACAACCATGTCTGCAGACTACAGTGAGTCATTGAGATCAGTTGTAAAGGTTTGGGTGCAAGAAAAGGAGATACTATAGATGATTTTTCTTGTGATTTATAAACTGGCTATGAAAGTCACCCTAAAATGATTTTTGAAGATGACAGCAATGTATAAATAATTGTGTAACATCTTAAACAGATTATTTTTAGTGGGTAAGCATGCACATTTATAGGCTCTATAAGATTTATTAAAAATTAAATGTCATTTCTGTAGGGTTTCACTGATTCCACTTGGATGTAATTTATGGGACAACTTGAAAGTACTTTCATCTTGTGTTCTTAGTGATGCAGTGAGGCTTTTTATTTTCCAAAAATGTGATGGGTCAATGAAGGCGAAATGGTATTAAAGCAGTTTTATGTATATTATGGGAATATTTGTCACACAAATATTTATATATGATGTTCTTTCCTGGGAGAAACTGGAATGTATGGTTACCTTATATATTAATAGAAATTCATAAAGAAACCTTACTAAGAAAATACTTTTAAAAGTTATACCAGAATCTCTTTATAAAACAATTGTAAATTTCAAATGAAGAATGTGTTGAACACCTAAGTATTCATGAGATATGGAAGATATTTGGAAACCAAAGATGTTTCTTGTGAATAACGATGATCAGATTTAATTCTAGGCAACACTTACTGAGTGTGTGATATGTCCCAGGCACTCTGCAGACAACCAAGGGTAGAACCAGAAACACGGTTTCTCTCCTCAGAGAACTGACACTCTGCTGACCAAAGCTCTCCATTAGTGGGAGTGCAAAGATGCCTGAAAGTTATTGTAAGCTTGGGATCTGCAATGATTCATTGTGGAAAAATATGTTAAAATATGAAAGCATATAGGATAGTAAGTGAGCCTCTGTGAAAGAGGTGGAGTTTGTGGAAGCTCCAGCAAATCTTTTTTGCTAATTTTCACTTAAATACTATTTAAAATGACCAAGAAGGAAGTTTTTATTCGATCATAATGAGGAAAGAAGAGACAAATTCCAGATTCTGTTCACAAGTTATATGACTCTCTTTATTGACAGACTGAGATTGATAATAAGCTGCTCTTGGGAGCCTCTACCTCACTCCTTCAGTGCTTCTCCAGCCTCAAAAACCACTTGCTTGGCTGACCTCATTGCTGCTTTTGGTGTTAATACATGAAATTTCTCTTGCCAAATCTGCTTTTTGCAATGAATCATTAAGCAAAAACAAAAACAAAAAAAAAAAAAAAAAAAATCTCACCTGGTTTCCATTATGCTTTAGTGAGTATTGATTACTAAGAAGAGTATAAATATTGATAAATGACCTTGTCTGAATTAGGATAACAAAATGAATGGGAAGGATGGAAGAGAATCCCCGTAATTTTCTGCTTATGAGACACATACCTTATTACAGTGACAGAAAAGTTACCAATAAAATCATTATATGTTACATAACTTGGGGGACAGATGTTAGAAAAAGAGAATTCTTTATTGGAAAAAGAATTCAAGTATTAGGGCTCATGAAGGATGTCATTTTACACAGAGAAATGATTCCACGTGCCTCATTCCTTTTGCCTCAAGAGAAGGTCATGATGTGGGAATAAAGAATGTATTTCTTTTTTGGCCATGGGAACTTAAAGCCAAAACTGACTGAAGGATGCCAGAGTTGAGAGGGAACTTTGAGCTGAGATTGGGGGTGTTGGATGCATGGTGAGGATGAGAAGGTAAATAAATAGAGGAACTTAGCAGGACCTTGGATTGAAATTCAATATTGTGGAAATGATGCTTCTTTCCAAATTTATTAATGTTTTTACTGGCTTCACAGGGTATAACTAGTTTTTACATGAAGGCCAAGAACCAATGCAATGAGGCAACATAGCTAAAATAATACATCTTTGCAATTTTATGAAAATTGCTTTATGGCATCATAAAATATCAGCTCAGGGAAAGTTGGTAATGTGTTGAATAAATTTAATACTTTAACTTTACAAATAGAAGATTTTGCACAGATGATTTGCCTATCTTCTGATAAAGATCAAGTGTGAAAAATAGGCTTAAGTGGTACTATTGTCCTTGATGCATTTAGATTATAAGAAATCTCTTATTGAATTATTCCACTAACTAATTTCTTGGAGAAAACAATTGTTCATCAATTGCATATGCTCATCTACAAAGTATATGAAATAATTGAGGGAAGAAAAAAATTATGAGAAAGAAATGATGCACTATAACTTTTCCTAGTGTGTTTAATATATTAGAATCTTTTAAAATGTGACTGAAGGAGTTCATTGTTCTTTCATTAATTCAAGCACTGTACTGAGTCCTTTAATGCATTATCTCATTAGTCCTTAGGACAACCTTGTGCGGTGAGCATCATCATCTTCAATATGCATGAGGAAATTGTTTGCAAGGTTAAAATTTTGTTCTAGGTTATACAACGATTAAATTGGATGCAACTCTGGAATTTAAAAAAATCCTATATGCTTTAGAATATATGTTAATATTTTACATTTTTATATTCTTAATTATATTTTAAGAAAGTTAGCCGATCCCAGTTAGGTACAAGGTTAGTGTATCTGGTTATTCTGCTGCTCTTTTTATAAAAGATGTAAATTAGAAGAAGCCAGAGTCTGCCACTAACACTTGTCCACTCATGAATGTTTCCGTTTGAATTTCTTTAAAAGAAGAGTGAAATTCTAAGATGTAAATTTGCATAATTTAAAACCTTCCATTTCTATTGGTATACACAGAAATGGTTTTCTGTGTGCATCTAATGAAATAATGGCTAAGAATGCTATAGAGAGTAAATTTTCCCTGATTTTGTTTTCATGGTCTTCCAATTGAAGAAAACACGCAATATATTTTTATGGAATATTATAGCTTAAAAATTCTTTGAGACTGTTATAACTTATTTCTGCCAATTACTGGCCTTGTGATCTGGCCAAGAGATTTAATCTTACAGAGTTGTTGGGATTGGTGATACAATCCATATAAAATATTTATTGACATGTAATCAGAACTCAACAAATGTCATTCATTTGTTGCACTCGTTGGAGGTATTGTATAAGTTGGAGTATAGGCTTGAGCAAATGTTCAAAGACAGAAGATAACCATGTATTTTTCTGTCACGTAACAGTCTAGAGGTGAGCAGTCTAGGGTTGGCAGGCTAGCTCTGCCATTCTCAACATGTGGCTTTCATTTCTGGGTCTGACATGATTTTTTCAGTTACTATTATTTAATATTCATCATGTAAAGGGAAAAAGATGAGGAGAGCAGATACCTAGTCATGTAAGAGGAAGACATTTGCTGTCATTCCAGTGGTCAGTACTCAGTCACATGGTCACATCTAACTAGAAAGATGTCAGAGAAGTGGGGTCTTAATCTGAATAGCCATGTGCCTAACTAAAATTCTATTATGATGGAACATATAGTGGAGGACAACTAGTGGTATTCCACTGATATGCGTTATTATCTGAATATTATCCTTATAAGAGCTATAGCTAAAAATGTATTAAAGATATGTTAACACAGAGTGGGAGCTGTATTTATATATTTTAAACGTTACACATCAAGAAAAATAGAAACAAAAATTCCTGCATTTTGAAAAACATATGCAGTCTTAATAATCTAAATTATAGACTATCTGGAAATATATTTTATTACTACTAAACACACACACACACACACACACACACACACACACACACACACACACACACTCCTTATCTACCATGCTGGCAAAGGGAGAAGCTTATCACCTACTCATGAACAGATAACATTTTAAAAATTAAAGTGGTCTTAATATTCTTGAAGACAATGTTTTTAAGTTCATGAAACATTTGCCAGCAACTATTTTATTTCACTTAATATCTTGAGAAAATATTTTGTCACAAACATGTAACTAAATTTTGACCAATATCCAAATTATCAGATATTCTAAATTAATGGATTCTATAATAGAATTTGCTCCGTGAAAAATTTTCTAAAAATAAATGGATAGATAGTAACTACTATTTTTTTCTATATAATACATTTCTGAATCTGAAATATGTTCACTGGGCAAATACAACAGAAATTCTCAGTGGCCACATGGCCAGGGACAACAAAACGCAACAATGTCAGCAAGTTAAGATCACTTGGGAGATTCATTGTCTCTTTTGTGCACTGTTTTTTTCATACCTCCCCTTTCCTTTTCATACTTTCTCATAGCCTCCTTATTACAAAAAGAAGGGTTTGATAGTTGTCATTTACATTTGATCATGTAACTCTTTGGTAATTCTTTTACCTCTAAACAGAACATAGCTGGTATTAGGAAGCAGGTGTGAAGACTATATTTTGAAAGAGGTAAAGTTTCTTTTCATTCCAAATGGACCTGTTTTTCCTGACAGGGACAAGTGGGGACAGAGGCCCAGCAGGGCCTGGACTGCCCCAAAGCAGGTGAGAGGCCTAAGGTGCAAAATTTAAGGAGTCACTGGCTCTGAAATTTCAAAAACTTGCACGAACCCCAAATTGGGTGAGCACCTCTGTAAATTTTGTGCTTT